TTTATAATATACTTTACCAGAGAAGGAATTGAACGCGCTCCCCCAAGTAGCATAATAATTTAATTAAAATATATTATACTCCCTGAAGGAATTTTCAGTATCCCAAACTAAAAACGATTAAATGCATTTGCAGTTAATTTATTATGTAGTAAAGGGCTTCTCAAATTACTTTTCTTTTCTTTGTGAAACCGTATAATATCAAAATACACAAAGCCTAACAATCCTTTGTCTTATTATAACATGACAGCTCAGCCACCAATTTGGTAACTAAAGCACCTTTTTAAATACTTCCTGATGCTGCCCAAACTTGGTGTATTAAATTATCTGCCAGTCAGTAACATCGACGTAGCAGCTTCATGAATTTTGAGTTGAATGTGACAATTGCATCACTTACGTGGGGCTTTGATGTCTGATATGGTAATAAATTGTACAGAAATGTACTTATTTTTAGAGGGTAATGGCGGCCGAGGAACTTGTTTGGTCGCTATGACTAATGAATCTCTGGGGCTAGAGATGTGAGCATTAACATAACTTGAAATGTCGCATGAATCATTTTTCATATATTAAATAGTACTACAAATATTGAAATTGGTGCGAAACTTTGATTTTTATGAATAGAATTTGAGGTTTTCTCGACGGTGAGTACGACACATGGCTTTATTTCTGGAAAATATAACGTAGTCGGAATTTTCATTAATGGAAGTGGTTCGCTACATTGTATAAATATTAGCTCACGGTTTCTGCAAACTTCAAACTTCAACAAGTAGACTGAAGTGTTTAGAGCAGCGTTTATCAACCTATGGTACTCGTACCACTGGTGGTACGCGAACTAAGTAAGAAAATTAAAAGATAATATTAACATAAATAAGTTTTCCTTGAACGAATTTGGTTAGTGGTACGTTTAATGTGTTAAATTAGAATTAGTGGTACGCCAGCGAAAAGGGGTTGGAATCCCTGGTTTAGAGGAAAGTTGGCGGCCATCTTTTCTTATCTCATGTCGATGCTTACCGAAAGGAAATTTGTCAGATGTCGTCTGATGTCACTGGATACTATGGACTTACTTCATCGTTCACTTTAAGAGGCTACTTCCTTGAATGAGCTCATGCAAATGAAGTTTTATATCACATTCTCATTACGAATGAAATTTGGTTTCTGTTCTCTACGAAAGTGAAGATGTTTTGTTTTCAACTGAAGCTGACCGCCGCGCTGAACTAACTGCATATCGAGTTTTTACCACTGGGTATGAAGTATCGACCATGTTTCCTTCCCATTTCTTCGTTCCATTTGTTATGACCACACCCAAATCCATTTTCATTATAGCGTATGTTTGCTGTGGTCTTATTTTGGTATTATCACTTCCGTGGCATATCAGACTACTGTTCTTCGGAGTTGTGTTGAAACAAACTTGCGTCTAAGCCAATAACATTTCCCCATATCGCAGTACAGGTTTTTTGAAACAGTGAAGAAAGTTATGAGATGCACTGCAGTTTTTCATTCGTCTGTCTCTAGCTCTGTTTCTCTCTGTCTTTATCAGTTTGTGTATGTATGATGTTCATTTATTGATGATACACACTCGACGTTACAAAGCTAAGTGTACGATAAAGTATATATTCTCAAATATTAATCGTTCCGAAAACATAAAGATTAGTTGAAACTGGAATAGGCGTAAAATCGTGGTTATGCCATAGGCCAGTGGTATTCAACCATTTTGTTCGCGTACCCCCAGATATAATTTCTCTTTCAACTTTGTACCCCCAAAGTTGTTGGTATATAATTCAAGTTATACATAGTATATAATCTACATCTAAAATAAATTAAATAAATTACATCACTGATTATTCAGTGTTTATCATAAAATAATATTTTTTTTTTAAATTTCACGTACCCCCTAAGATGTCTTCACGTACCCCCGGGAGTACGCGTACCCCAGGTTGAATACCACTGCCATAGGCCATCACTTTATAAACTGTGCTGAACTTCTGAGATGGAATAATGACGCCATTACTCATTTTTCGTTGTCCGTGTACTTCACTTTTGGTATATTTATAGTTGATATCGAAGGGGCAATGTTTCTTATCCGACCCGTTTAATAAGTTTCCTAATATCTCCAGTTAGTTGTATTGAGTTTCGTAATTCAAAACTCTGCAAAAGCAAGTTCAAAATAAAAACACAAACCTCCCCGAACAGTCCTGAATGCACATAATGCTCAAATCGAGATTTATAATTTTTCTTTTTTTTAAAAAAAAGTTGGTAGGGCTGCATCATATAAAATATGTATCTAATTAAGACGCAGCCTACATTCGTTGTTTGAATTTTTTTGTGTGTGTTGAATATTGAACAGAACACTGAGAGGTAATTTATGAGTCCCGATATTGCAGCAATGGATTTTTGTATTAATATGAAACGAAATGACTATGAATGTGGAAAATATGTGGAAAGCTATCTTTGCACTCTTGCAGTATTTGACTTCTCTAATCTCCTTGTTCTTACACCGTTCTTCAGATTACGTCACCTGCCTACAGCCTGTACGTCGTTTGTAGGAACGCGTGGGAGTCATAGAAATCCATTGCCCAGTCATCCTTGTTGACTGCTATATCAAGTATACCTTGCTGCTTGTGACAGCTCTGGTGCTTTAGTGCTAATTCCGAGTGGAGTGACAGTATTAGTGAGTTTACCAATCAAATGCTCATCCATCTATGTTCAGATTTCATACGGGTATCGCCAGCCTCCATCCCTTTAAGCGAATGAATTACGATAGTAGTGTTCTGCGTTGTAACGCTGTATAATCCGGCAGGTGGTTACCAATGTTTTGCTCTTGTCACAGCCCAGAAGACCAGAATCGACTGTTCACCTCCGTACGAACCTCGAATACCAGTTACGTTAATATTTCTGAACTCCGGTCTGAAAATTCTTGTTTGCTTTAAGAGAAATCCTATTCATTTTACTACAACTGAAAGAATAATGATTTTATTATAATAACAAATAATTACACGTAATAACAAGTCACTTTGTTTTATTTTCTTCTTAACGATTAATTATTACAAAGATCACTGTTTCACAGCAGTCTCGATACGAAAATCGATTACAATTGCTTTTCTTACTGTAATCCTGGTGTCAAAGTCAGCGAGAATGCGATTGGCTCGAAATTAAGAAGGCGTGAGCAATGATAAATCATGCAATATGTAATCGGAAAACTTGAAGGAAAAGATAAACACGTAGACAGAAGAGTAATTTTGAAGTCTGTCGTAAGTAAGGTTGTGAGGGTGTGAACAGGATTCATAAGGCTCACAATAGGGTCCAGTGGCTGGCTTTTGTGAACATGACAATGAATAATCGAGATCCATAAAGGGTAACGTGTTTTTTTCTCACCAATAGAGCGGCCGTCACTCACTCACTCACTCACTTACTCTATGGTGCAAGATATTCTTTGAAAAGTCGATTGTATTCTCGGCTTGTCAAAGAACAGCCAACTTTTTTTATGGAACTTGAAGGTTCATCACGTTATTCACAAAATCCAGGCACAGGACCCTATCCTGAGCCAGCTGCATCCAGTTCGCTCCAGCGATTCCCGTCTACCTAAGGTCCGTCCTCAGGCTGCGGATGGAGAAGGCCTCCAACAGATACGTCTGAAGGGCAGCTGAGAAATTTTGATGAATAAGCAGTCGAGGGCAGCCAATAAGGGGTGGTCATTCAGCTTAGGGGTTGGACGTGGGGGCTAACAACCCCTCACCATAAAACTTATTTTGTTACGAAATGTCTAAAAGCGCCTCGGATCTGGACTGATTCTTTGGCAGAAAAATGACTTATCTGTGGCATATGGTCTGTCATACACTGTTCTGAAAGTACAAATTTCTGACAACTTCAATTATAGGTCTACGTATTCCATATACTATTATGCAAAATTTAAGTGTGAATATTCAGTGTGAGTGGTTCAATGTATCTTAGATTTTAATATCACAGATGTCTTCCTTTTCATTCTTAGTTTTCCGCTAGGCATATTTATTCGGGAGCCAATGAGATTTTTTGTGTTACGAGAATATGATTATTTTATAAAATAAAGAAACCACAATTTTCAAATGGAAATTCCTCTTCATTACATGTAACTAACACCATTGAGCAAGTCTTTAATAAGAATCTGATAGTCGCTCACCTGATCAAGATATGTGGTTTTGTGAACCCGAAAGTACATTGCTATGTTTACAATATTCCTCCAATAGACCATGTCTTGAGTATAAATACGTACGTAAGTGTATTTGCACGTGAACGACGTAATAATAACATGTTAAATATTTCCTGGCCTGTAATACGAAAAATAATTACAAGAAATGTTTTTGACACGGCTTTACATTCGTATTAAGCGCATGTAGTTCTTGGTGACTAACGCTAGGATGCGCTGAGCGTCATGCACCGTGTAGAATTGTCTAGCTTTGTTTTGATGCAGGCGAAGGAGCAGTGTGTTTCGTGCTGTGGGGAAGTAGGGGGCGTGTTCAGTATAATTGTAACGAAATCGTTATGATACAGAGTTAGAAGTGATCGTTCACATGTGTAATCTGTTGTACAGGTTAATTGTTGCTTTTTTGCAGGGTTTGAGAACAGAGTACAGAAATGAAAGTGACTGTGTTGATTAGAATTTGTTTATATGTTCCGAGAACTGTACTCGTCTCTTCGACGTTTAAAATGGAACAAAACGCGCTGTAATAATGAATTGTTCTGATTGTGTGTGTATGTGAATAATGTGGGTTGATGTTATAGAACTGTGACACGTGTTCCAAGAATCTATAAAATGAATGTTAGGTTATCAGACGTTGTTGAACAGATTCTACCCAATTCAATTCGGGCTGGAAATGTCACACAAGGCATGTGGCGTAGGTGAACAGGAAACTAGTTCCAAGGTAAGAAAGAATATTAATTATTGTTATTTATGGAGTAATTAGTGCCCACGACTGCATTTTGTTGTGGTATAGTGTAGGCACTGCCCACGTTTTGGTGTAAACCGGTATACTTAAAATCGTATAATGCAGTGCTATAATGTTTCCCACGCTTTGATGTATCATTTATTAGGTATTTTTAGAATAGTACGTTAAGGAATACATGTAGTGAATGACATCCATTTATCGAAGTCTCGACTTCGTAATTTGTTGATAAATATATTGAAGATTATGTTACGAGATGATGTCATGCTGATTATGGCTGGAGAATAGAAAGCAATTAGAAAGCAGACGTGACCGACGTCTGTGTAACAAAGTAGCAAATAGCACAGTCAGGTTTGAAGTTGGATCCTCTCGACACTAACTACTTCACCCCCACATTTTCGGCCAAACCGCCGATATCATGAGAGCATTTTCGTGGTTTTTATCGATTCTTCTAGGAAGACTCTGGAATATGTCGTGCGTGATCTCTTCCTTTTCAGATTGATTCAGATTTCCTTTTTAATATTATTTCGGAGGAAGTAATCTGTTGAAGTCGGTGCAACGTCTTTAAACCGACGAACAATCTATGGTATTTTTTAGTCCAGTTTCCATGGCTACGAGCCTAAAAATAAATTGCAGAATGTTTATCAAGCACATATATTTTTATATTGCATATGTACAGTTCATACATAAAAGTATGAAACTTACCATTTGCCGGTCTGGTATACATTACTAACTGACTAGATGGTTTACGAAACACGAAGGTTCATCACCGAATTAACCAAAGCTCTCCACCGGACCCTGTCCTGGGCCAACAAAATCCAGTCTCCTTCAACTCCTATCTCCCATAGATCCCGCCAGACATTATCCTCCCATCTATGTCTAGGTCTCCCCAGCGTTCTCTTCCCCTCAGGCTTCCCAACCAATACCCGGTGCACACCTCTTGTCCCATCCATGCGCGCTACATGCCCAGCCCATCTCATTCTTCTCGACTTAATCACCCTGACAATGTTGGGGGAGGAGTACAGATTTTTAAGCTCATCATTACGTAGTTTTCTTCAGACCCCATATTATGATAATATAAATATATTACGGAAGTCATCACGAACACACTCTTTTATTGTGGTGGGGTGGGGGCTGAAGGCGTCCTCAGTAAACAGGAAACAATGTTAAGAAAGACAAGGTCGAATGTGCGGAGTGATAATTTGACTGTTGGATGTGAAGAGGGCGAATTATCACTGGATGGAAGAATTCCCTGAAAGACTGATAGTTGGTCAGCTGGCCAAGAGATTTCTTACGTTACGTTCATTGCTGTGTTCCCAAGACCTTCCTACCGGTCTTTATTCTCAGCCAATTGAATTCAGTCCCCATAAAAACAGTTTTAGTATCATCTGTACCCAGTTTCAAAATGAGGGTTTCTTAACTAACTTCTATACGCCTTTCTGATTTTTGAAATGTGTCGCGTTATTGCCCTGACAGTGAAAGGAGGTGATATCACACATCTTTGATAAAAATTACAAATGAATTATTTTTGTAAATGTCTGCTGTTGTACACAGGACCTCTCGATTACAAAGTAAGAGTGGTGCCCATGCACCCGAAACGTCCATTTATAATACCATGTTCTGCGTCACGTAATTTCTTTCAATGGCTTCCATCAGACCATAATTAATATTATTTTAAGCAGGCGGTCAAAGAATCTTAAACTATTTAACGACGTTCTTTCATCTGCATGGAGTATTTCGTGTCAAATGAGTTGAGCAGGAGTTTGTTGTTGTTGAGATGATAATGTTGCGTCATATTGTGATGATTATAATTGTTTAATTCTAACCGTCTAATCAAAATAAAATATTTTATTAAATATTAAAATATTATTACTACAATTAACATTTAATATTTAAAATATATTAAAATGATGCTCTTTCTATCGAAATGTTCGATTTACAATTAGAGCATCATCTTTTTCACGACATGTTTCGGTTTTCATTGAACCATCTTCAGGTGTATAATCGTTGTTGTTGTTTTATTACGTCGACAGGTGTCCGTCAAATGTGAGCGCAAGTTTCTTTGTAGCATAATTTTAAAAGCAACTGTGACGTTTGACTGTAAAGCGAACATTCTTGATACTCACTCCACGAGGTGAATAACCAGACCTTCGGCCCACATAGACGATGTTGTTTGTCCTCGAAACTATTAATCATTTACAATCAATATTGATTATGGCGTAACACAAGAAACGGGAAGTTCTCGTGCTACAAGTACCAGTAATTTAAAACGTATCGACTTTATATCAACAACAGAGAAAGCAACTGCGAGATTATTAAAACAGGAAAAGAACGAGTTTTAAATAAATATGGCGAAGGATGAGATGGCTGTTATCACCTGTACCATAGCAGTTCTTGGCCGGGAGCCGAGTAGTGACAGTTACGTTCAACTTTATCGGTGAACGCACTGTATGAACAGCTGTTAGTAGTGACTGCAGGCGTTCATACCTGGAGGGTGTCAGAGCAACTCCAGTAAGTGGTTGTCTGCATTTCATCGTCTTCCCATGAGCTCTCAGGGGTGTATCTGATTGGGAGTAGGGTTATGGTCGTGCCGCCCCTTCGAAGGCAGCACAGAGGTCTAAAATGCAAGGCAAAGAACCAGAGAGAGACAAAAGACTGTCTTGAGTGTTGACTTTGCGATTGGTAAAATGAGAACAGTATAAACAACGTCCTTATTAGGTGTAGGGCATTTTAGGGGAATGAAGAATTAGAACCTGCAGATGTTTGTAGCGTGTCACTACACAAAATTAATTTATAAGATATATATGAATCCTTTAATTCACAGACCAATATACGCAGCATTAACATCACTCCGACAATACGATTGTATCAATGATATATAATACAACAACAAATGTTGATACAATGTGAAAAATTGAAAAAATTGAAGAAATGATACGAAAATTAAAAATTAGTAATTGAATTAAGAGTTTATAACATACACCTGATGACGGCTCTATGAAAGCCGAAACATGTCGAGAATGTTCCATATGTAAATCGAGTACTCGATACGGAACAAAAGATAATATTTTAACCATTTAATTATCTTATATTACTTTATTGTGATTGACGGACAATTTTAATATATATATTTTAATAAAATTAATTAAATTATTTCTTAACTTTTTGATAATTTCCACTCGACACAATATAATTTTGCAATTGAACCAGAGTCTGAAATAACTTAAAGTTTTTGGGCGTTCGTAATAAATTCGTCATGTCCGTCAAGGTTTATCTTAGCTGCACAACGATTTAATATAATGGGTCTGTCACAGTGCAGATTTTTAAGACCTTGAACGAAATGACGTTACTGTTGTTCCAATTTCAGAGAATCGTAGCTACCATTTGAGTACTTTTACTGAGAGCAGGGAGTTAAAACGTAGAACGATTGAATCTCTGAGGTAGCTTTCTCTTAGTATCGATTATTTAGTTCTATAGTATCAGTATTTGCAGTTGTACTGTATCAGGTGACGTGTGGATGGGCCAATTCACTCTCGTTACGTGAATAGCAAATACAGAGTGATTCAAAAGCCCCCGTCCACTGCGAAAAACAAAACAAACAAATGATGAAAATTGGGTTTGATTCGGACGTCTCTGTGCACATACGCTCCAGATAGGGCACATGGCGTGTGCGATACACACGAATTGACGTCAATAACCTGTTTTATTTAGTTGTAAATACAAATGTGTTGCAAAGCCAACGTAAAAACATAAATGAGCCAACATTTTTTTTATATACCATTTATTCGGAAAATTGAAAATATCTGAAGATCATTCTTTAGCAAGTTTTGAGGCAGCGTTTTTAGTGTTGAAGGTAATTTTAATAATTCTTGACGACCTCCGTGGTTCATTTTAAAATAGATGACCTTGAATCTTCATTGCATACGTCGCAGTGGTTTGTCAGCGTTTTATTACAATACCTCGCAAGAGTGAATGAGAGACAAACGTAGAAACGGGTTCGAACCCCAAAATCTCAGACAGCGGGCAATGTCCAGCATATTTCGTTGTAACGAATCGAAGATGGACAAAAACCTTACGAGATTCCAAAGGAAGGCCGAGAAGTCGACCCTTTCCTGATGTAGTATAATTCAGTTTACATAACCGAAACGTATTCTCCCAAGGCACTTTTCATCATGGTTGAGATGTTAGTACTCCAGCTTCGTAATCGGAAGGTCAGGGGTTACATATTATGTCGCGGGCCTCATACTTGTTACGAAAGAACCTTTGTGGATAAAAAACATTTACTGTATGGAAGTGTGAGCTTCTCACAGCGCTAAAGATGTCAATGGTGGTCTTATGTATTGTAACTCCATGTGGCCTTGTAGGTTGGTACCAACGCTTCTGAAGAACATACCGTCTCCATCATCAGGGCTGACAGAATTGTACAGATAACACAGGCCACATTAACGTACAAGTAAATTGTTAAACGTGAAAGATCTGTTCTCCACCACTCGAAAGATTTGCATATCTGTCACCTGACGAACTGTGGGTAATTAAATGACGTAGGCTACACTGTTACTAAGACAAATGAGTGATGAAAAATTGCTGAGAGGGTTGTTCGTATTCGTAAACTCTGCTCTAAGCTGCGTTGGGCCTTTTCATTCTAGTTATAAACAGCTGGATGACGGTAATGAATATTTTGATACACCTATTGAGTACGTGTTCTAAATAATCCGTTCGTCTTTTGGTTACTATGCATTATGTAAAGCGATTCTCACAGCAGGCGTTCCTGTTGCAAGATGATACAGGCCTGAACTGTGTTAGTATTCTTTTGAATTCCGCCGCTTAACGGAATGCAAGACAGACGCAAGGCCCTTGGACTGTGGCTTAAATAAATGAATTGAATTGAATTATTATTATTATTATCCCATGTATTCACCACTTTATGGGGTATGTACTTCCATGTACCCGAGACAGACCTTGTCCCTAAGGTACATAGG